CCATCAAAGCATTCAAGTTGTGAATTGTGCTTATTGCTGAAAAAAGCAATTACTACTAAATAAACCCTTATGCACTTTTATTTTTACAAAGTGTTCATTTTATCAGGCTTTAATACAGTATGTTATTCAGGCTTCATGCTAAAGCATCAGCAGGAAGACAAAGAGTTTAGCAGTAGAAAACCTCCAAGACATGACCATCCAACTAAACTGATGGGACAATTATCCAACAAAATCTCCCCAAAAGCAACGCTTCATGAACATTTGCAAAGAAAGTCCTTATTTGGATTAAAACTGGAAAATGTCGTGGGAATGAACACCTGGGAAATTGAACACTGGAGTATGCACCATTCATAGCGCACAGTCAGTATGCTTGTACGTAATGGTAATATATTGTTGCTATGGGAATGTGTTGTGCAATAAAACCACTGTTTAGATTAAAATGCATCTTGTTGTAAACTTCTAGTACTGACAAAAAATGATTATCAAGATTCAGTTAAACATTTTATGCTATTTTGCATGAAAACACTCATATCTTTCCAACCACTCTAAAACCTAAAATATCTAGGTTTTAACAGAACAACATTTCTGTGACTTGTTGGAAATTTAATTAAAACATTATCCCATGTCCAATGATGAATACATTTTTAACCATCCCGTTAGATGTCTCCACTTCAGTGCCATTTACAAACACAAATCTTTACTAAGATCTATATTTAATGTTTGAATACAAAGGCAACTTGCTCTTGTTTTATTAACGGCTTCAAATATTTTTTCCAACATTTGTTCCCGCTTTTAACAGGAAATTTTTGAAAACTTTTAGTTAATAGTTAATTATGTTCATGCAAAATGCAGCATTGCTGTATTCAAAACCTTTTTTATCTTTATGAGCCTCCCCTCTGAGATAAGAGTGTTGTGGTTACACTATAATGATTACTGATAGGATCTTGACAGTGCAGGACCCAGATCAGATGTACTGGTCCTAATGAAGATATCACTGTATTCTCACTCGTGCAGAAGCTCCATGGTTATAACCCCCTCCTCAGTATTCAACCATCAGTCAATAAATAACCTCTCTTCATTCAATTAGCCAGTGCTGACAAGCTGGAAGTGGCTGCAGTTTGCAGCTTCTAATTGTGTTTTGTGGAGAAAAATACAGGCACCTTCAGGTAAGCATGACTTCCTGGCACATTAACAGTCAAGCAGAAGACATGGAGGTGAAAAGTCCATCTGCTTTAAAAAAAAAGAAAAAAAAAAAAAAAAAAAGAAAAGAAATAAAACAGAGGATGTTCCCAAATGCATAAGATGGAATATTAACTTTTGAACATCAGAGCATCTCATAAAGTTGTTTCAGCTGAATTCAATATACCAAGCCCAAGGAAAAAGCTTCTCATTAATTGACAACCATAAAAGGGTGGAGTCCCCATATTACTGTTGACAAGATCTGAGCCATGATGACGGTTAGCTTCCTGGCTCCAGTGAAAGACGTTAATGATGGCTCCACATTTCCAAGCGGAACCATCAGGTGATGAGCACTGCCTCCCTGCATATGTTCTGAATCACAAATCATGACAACAGAGCCATAGTGTGGATGTCCCCTGTCCCCCTTTCAGAATGAATAATTGATCTGACCACAGCTTCTCTGGGCTAACGCTCTGTGTGCACTAGGAGAAAGAAACACAAACAATTAGAACCCCTGAGCCCATAGCTGGAATAAAACCCAGGTTAAAAAGACATAGAGTCAACATTATTACTCCAATGCCTTCTAATAAACATAAGCTCATGCTTTCGCAGAAAGTCATGTCCCTTAATGTTTATTGTCTTCCTTCATGTCCGGCATGTATAGAATGAAAATGACTTGAGAGGTGTACTGAACAAAATTTCTTTTTGTATACACTGTGTGTACAAAATGACAATAAAGTCTGTCTAAGTCTCTAAGACTATGTCTAAGAATGAGAAACATAACATAACATGGTCTGAAAGGTGTCAGTACTGGCAGAATAAAAGTCAAAATTCCTGTCATGTAATGGTATAGGCAATTAGGTAAACAGAGGGAAATTTTTTCTAAAAAATACTTATATTACATTGTGTTACATGTTTGGTTTCTGGTTATAAATGTCGGTATTTGCAGTTAGAAGTGGAAAAGAACCTTCTAACCAAAGACATATTATAAAACATATTTTTTGCCCTCTGAACAAAGAGCATCTACTCAACCAGTTGAGCTTCTGAGCACTCCTGTCTTTAGCTTGACTGGGTGAAGGATTTAGAAGAGAAACACACCAATGCAACGCCACAAGTGCATGCTGAATCTCAACTTAGGTGCAGGTGTGTCCTGTAGTTTCACTGTAGTTTTTTCTTTTTTTTTTTTTTTTATAAGTATTTCAAATGAGACATTATATCCTTTTGTTCAATTTTTTTATGTTATTGATAATTGTATGAAATATATAGCTGTTTAAAACAAATGCTCTATGTTAGTATTTGATTTTTAACATTGTCATTTTGTCCCCAAAGGCCCAAATAATTTATTTGCCTTGGAATTAAACATTTGCATATAAACTGTAGATGGGTTTGATTTGGTACAGACAGACAGACATACATCAACAGTGTAAATATATATCAGAATAAACTGATTTCTAAGCTCCTTCATGTCTGACCTCAGATATATGAGCCACACATTGTTTGGCAAAGCAGGATAATCCCTTGTAATGCTTTGATTTCTAGATCAAGGCAACTATTAACCACAGGCTCAACTCACATAGTGATATTTAGTTTCATTTCACATTTACACAAGCCATTCAACAAGTCGTGTGAATTTAGCAGAGGAAACAGAGCAGGGTGCCGCCTCTATCTACAGTACAGTGCTGACATTTGTTGGTATTCAGATTGGCAGAGGCTTAATGCAGGTGTTGTATTTTTACTAAATACTGAACAGATAAGGAGGTTTGTCCTTGTGAGGGAGAAAAGGTCAGAGCTTTGACGCATGAGAACCCACCATAAGACCACACAATGTACCGGTGTTAAGGTCCACCCAAAGACGTCAACTCTTCCTGCAATTGTCTAACATTCTGGCAAGCAGATACAGCTGGCAGGAAGGGTGCAGCTAAGCCCACCGAGCTTTGGCCAATCAGATGGCTTCTGAGAAGCTAGCAGGATTCTGATGTAATGTTTTTTTTTTTTTTTGAAAAAGCACAGGGGGGGGAGATTGAATGGTGTTTTCAGTAGCGCTTCAGGAACTCAGATGTTTGAGATGCATGTTGCCATACATGTAGAAAATTAATAATTCCACAAACTAGATGAAATGTCTTTATTAATGCATGTATAGCAAATATAATTTATATACAGTTATATTTAGATACAGACTGCGTCTATCAAGCCTTTATTTATTTTTTTGTTAAGCTTGAAGTCTTATCTCTTATGAAAACATGACATTCAAGATCAGGTTGTTAAATTAGAACAATGAAAAAAAAATATTCAGAAACATGAGTTTAATACACAGCTATAAGGTTTTCTGTTTCAAAAAATATGCTTTTAATCTGAAAAACAAATTTTTATCTGAACGCATATTCTAAGATATCAAATATGACATATATATATATATATCAAGGAACAATAACAGACTGTTCATTAACCAGCTTATAATCCCAAATCATGCTAAATGCACTGTAGGATTTTAGTAAATTGTTCCTCCTGTAAAGGTTAAGGCAACATCCAGCCAAGTGAAAACTAAAAAAATGTTCATTCATTTACAGTATTATGTTTATCACATTGCATTAACTAGACAGAGTTGTTTACTCTATATAGAAATATTTCTCTACTCCAGTGGACTTTTTACTCCTGTAAAATCTGCATAGTTTTGCTCTCAGCTTTTTTTTTTTATATATAAATATAGATATATTTTAGAATATACATTTCCTTAAGTTATGCGTTGCCTTTTCAAACTGGAGGGTCAACAATTCTGTTGTATTCGACTCTTTTCTATTCTAATTAATTTACTAAAACAAAACTTGTAGGATGGATATAGTTATATTAATTTTAGGTGTTACAGTGTAACCAGTAAAGGACATCAGACAGTGTCATTGATCTGAGCCTTGTGTTTCTCACCTCAGTCATTCTGTCTGGACCCTTGCTGTGGATTTGAAGGAACCGGCAGCCATCCTTCGCAAGTCTCTGGACCATCTCCAGCCTGGACAATTCCTCCTTGTCATGCAAGATGCACTTGCTACCTTGCTGCACTCCAGGGGACATGAAGAACATGTACTTTAGACCACAGTCCCACGATAACGCCATTTAACAACTCTCTGAATGTAAAAGAAACAAAGTTATTTAGAAGCTCCAAAAGCGTACACTGAAGGCAATCCTGATCATAACTTTCCTCAGTTGGACTCTAGGAATGTGAGTAATGGGCTGTTCTACAAGTGAAAGGCAGGGTATCATTCTGTAAATGTTGTACCTTCCACCTCACGGGAAGGGAGTGGGTCTATAGCACAGAGGAAACATCTGGTGAGCCAGACAGCCCAGAAAAGGAAGTTTCAAAAACTCCCGAACAGGAGAGAGTCAAGATTGGGCAGGGTAACAGAAGGTCAAATATATGAGGTATGAGTTAAGTAGACAAAAGGGTTTCATGATGTAAAAGATCAGTGGACAACATGTTCTGTGTTACTCCAATAATGATTTCTTCCATTAGCTTACTGCCAATGTTACAAATAAAATAAAATAAATAATGGGCTGCCATCGTTGGGCACCAGGGGAGCAGTGTGGAGTTAAGGGTCTTGCTTAGGACTACCCAAAAGAGTTTTTGTCTATTGAAATAGAATGGATTATTAATGAGCTACAACGAAGTATAATCATAAACCAGTCTAAAAGACTGTACAAAAAAGAGCTTATTGAAAAATATATGTGCTACTCAGTTGCACAGTCGGTAGCACTGCTGCCTTGCAGCTGCCTTACAGCAAGACGGATCTGGGTTCGATTCCCAGAGATTCCCATGGAGTTTGCATGGTCTCCCTGAGCATGCGTGGTTTCTCTCTGGGTACTCCGGCTTCCACCCACAGTCCAAAAACATGACTGTTAGGTTAACTGGTTTCTCTAAATTGTCCTTAGGTGTGAGTGTGTGCGTGAATGGTTGTTTGTCCTGTTCTTCTCTGTGTTGCCCTGCGATGAACTGGCAACCTGTCCAGGGTGTACCCCGCCTCTCGCCCGTAGACAGCTGGAGACAGGCACCAGCAACCTTCACGAGCCCACTTGGGATTAAGCGTGTAAAGAAAATGGATGGATGGATGGATGGATGGAAAATATGTTATATAGTATGGGTGTATCATTGGCCAAGAATGTCACAGAGGATGTTAATTGTTAGGGTGATAATTATAAAATTATTGTGTGGACATATGAAACATTGAAAGAAAGAAGATGCTACATTTGTATCCTGTGATTCAACCAGAAGGGTTTTTACTTTTATGACCTCCAGCAGATCATGAGGCAGAATCACACGGTTGTGTGACTTCCATCCAGCCAGTTGGTCAATACACACTATCTTATTACCTGCATCCTCCCAGATAATCATTACTGGGTCTTCTGTTTTAGGCCCGCCTTATGATGTTGTAAACTCTTAATAAAAGGCTTTGCCATGAAGGGATCTGTGTGAGAAGGTGCTGGTTTTCCGAGCCATCAGCTTCTCTCCGCTCTGCAGACGCTGACGTCACAAAACCCTGTCTCTGTGTTGATTATTTCCTTTTAATCTTTTAAACTCACATTTCTCTGGATTAAAACCCAACATTAATAATATGTAAATAACTGCACATTGAATAAGGGAAAGGTAAGGTTTAATATGTGGCTACTCTAAGGGTCCTGTGTATGGAGAGACTGATAATTATTTATTAGTGTGTATGAGAGGGGCAGGACATTATAACATCTTGTATTTTTCCACCTGTTCATTTTAAAGCAAATTGTATAAAAAAGTACTATCACTATTGTCATTTTTTGTTTTTTTTCCTATTGTTTGAATTAATTACTATGAAATTAATTAACTAACACTTTTCTTGGTGTTTGCAGCTGAATGTCCTGCTCTTTTTCTCAGCATAAATAGATAAAGCTTTAACAACTTGTACTAGAAGTAGGGGACGTCAAATATCCTTATGTTCAAATATAATGAAAACAAAGAGACTATTGCATGTTTTTTTTTTCACATACCTACACCTTATTGCAGATCATGGCTTTATAGGATAATAATAACTATACAAATCTGATATAACCTAGTTATTAAGCTGGGCTGTCTGCTCAAGCAGCTATCCTGCAGTTGGCTGCTTAAAAGGCATGTTGCTAAGGTTCTTATACTGAACCAGATTTTTTTTTATATCTCCAAAAAGAATGCTTTCTAAATGGTATATTGTGTGGTAGAAGAGGTCCTTTTATTAATATAAATTACTCATTGATCGCACATATGCAGGAGTCCAAGGTCCCTGTCTCCTGGAGTTCAGATGCTTTGTGCAAAGTCAGGTCCCCCTGTTACATTCGATTGTCAATACTGACTGATAAGATGAGACTAAACAAAATGCAAAATGTTTTTCAAAAATAAAGCCAGGCAGTACAGTGTATACCACAGTCTTTAAATATAACTGAAACAATTTCACAGAGGAAAGAAAAGTGAAAGCAAGCCTGAGGATAAATCTAGTTAAATGTGCTACCACTGACCCAGATTCACAAGTAAATGAAGTAGCATGTGAGAACGCCTGAAGTCAGACTTGTTAGTGAGCTTTCGCTGTGTAAACAGGGACTACTATTGTAACCTTGGGAGTTATACTGCTGCCGTGGGCGTGCAGTGCTGCAGAAACATCATAAAGTGATGAAACTACCATCAGCTTGTTACAGGATCCCTTTTTCTTAAATATTTCCCAGTCCTTTCCAGTTTCTCCAAAGATGTTAAACCACAGAAACAAAACCATCGCCTTACAGTCGGCAGAGGAAAAGCTGTTTCTTTCTAATGTCCTTTAGGAGCAAAACAATACGAAATGAAAAGTAGACTTTGGGTCTGCTGATATTTCTATAATAGAGAATATTTTTTGAAGAAGGGGTGGAGGTGATGGGGAGAGTAGCCTGACTTCAAAGGAGATGTCATGCCATTCACACCACAGGATGGTCTCTATTTTCTTCTATTCTTAGAATCCTTAACACCTTCCTGGCCATCTGGAGAGGAATCACAGTGATTTCCTACAAAACTGCACATCTTAACCTATTTTCTATGTTTTGAATACTGGAAAACCAGCAGTTATGGAAATTTTCTTCAGCTGTTTTCTTTAACTTGTTGTGCTGGATTCTAATAGGAAATACCAGGAATGTTGATGTGTATTCTTTTATCTTCATCTTCTTGTTGCTTTGTTTGTTTTCCTGTTATGATCTGTCCCACTTTGTTTAAATCAGATTTAAATAATGTCTGACCAAAACAAAGTAGGACTTCTAAATTTCACAATGTTCCTTCTCACTGTTATACGATTATGTTTACTGTAAGATCTCCAACAATCTCAGCAATGAAAATAAAGCATAAGGGTCCACTTTGTTATTGTCAATTCACATTTTCATTACTGGGAATAGAGGACAAAGTTATTTAGAAGATTTTCAGCATGCCTGTGCACTCTACTCAACAGATTTTCTTATACACTTTTTTATTTATTTATTTTTTATTTTTTGGCACTTTATAAGAAAGTACACTAAAAGATATGGGGTTGAGAGAAACAGAAAAGAAATACTGCAAAAATCAATGGGCTGGGACTGCCAAGAGAAATACTCAGAAATTAGAATTGATAGAGTATTATTGTTTAGTTTGTAGTTCTGCGAGGTGCTTAGGTAAACAACACTATAAAATATATTGATGATTATTTTCATTATGATTTTTAAATATATTATTATGATTTTCTCTATCTCCATCGCTTTTAACTGTATCTTCCTTTTAAAGCTGGTTGTAGCTTGTAGCACATGCAACAAGTTTATTCAGTTGGAGCAAATCGAACTAGTGTCCGCGTCTTATCAGTTGCAAATGCATCTTTGCAGATCAAAACATGCAGCTAGTTTACCAATATTTTGGGGGAGGTTGTGTTTCTTATTTGCATGAAGATCAGGCCCTTAGAGTTTATATATACTCATCTTTTGACTTACCTGACAAGTTGCTGCTTAAACACCAACAATTTCCTAACTAAAAGCTATTCTTACTCCATGTCCAGTATTGCATTTCATTTTATTCAGATTTATGGTAATTTGCAGTTAAAGGGTTGAATGGTCTAAGAAAAAACTGTAGGAAACCTCTTCTCAGTAATACTGTCCAGTTTATTCTTGTGCATCACAAGGTGTTCTCAGACTAGAACTGACATTAAGTAAGTACCTTCCAGCTAGTTCCAAGTCAGTTCCAGGGTCTCTAGATGATCTCCACAGGAAGCTGCTTAGAAGGGATTCAGATTGGATGCTATAATCATCTAAACTGACTCCTGCAGCAGCAGCTCTAATCTAATAAAGGAGTTAATCTCTTAATGTCTCTAGCATTCCTGTTTGCGTATATTGATGGTGGTGATCTTTATTGTAGCCACAGCTGCCTAAGGGGATGCCATACATTGGCACCAGCGGACCCCCTGAGCAAGTGGCACACTTAACCATATTAGGGCACCAGGCAAACCTTTAAGTCTGCCCTAATGTCCCACTCAGCCCTGAGTGTGAAAGATGCTGTGGAGCTGCTACAATTTTCATAGAGCAAAACTTTAAACCAGATAGTTTACGAAATGTGTCTGTAATTCCTTATCTGCACTCCACAGCTAATGAATCAGAGACACAAACCCACAGCTTTCAGTAACAAATATGCATATTTTTGAAGTTTTGATATTTTTTGATATTTTGAAATATCCTTCTATCGCTCTTCTGGGGGAAAAAAAGCTATTACTGCATTGATTTGATATAAATAATATATAAAGTTCAAAATGTTTTTGAGCCATATACTCTTTGCTGTAAATTATTTTGAGTCAAAAAAAGTTGAAGTTCTCTACGAACTTCAAAAGTTCTCTATAAACGTTTAACTGTTACTCAGGTGAAATTCCCTCTGCTCTCTGTTCCTCATGATGACCCTGATGTTGCTTATTAGAAAAAAAAAAACTCTGGCTATCTGGCCAGTTTCTGTCTTTTAAATAATGTTGCCATTTTTTTTACAAATTCATTTTTGTGTTATTTAATCTCACACTTTTCAGCTCTGTTTCGTATTCTTCCTTCTTAGTCTTCGACTGCTTGTTCCAGTGCCACACTGCATTTCACGATATTTTAATTTATGTGATAAGATGGATTAGTCCATTTTAGTACATTAAAGGAGCAGAAGTCTGTTAGGAATTTTGCAATGTTTCATTTCATTGTTTGTACAGTAAAAATTATTATTTTATTTCAAAGGGTAAGGGTCCCCATGTGGTTTCCTATCTTACCTGTATAGCAGGTCTGCCCCTGCTCTAACTACCAAGGCTTGATAGTGAAGCCAAGCATTTTTCCCAAGGACACAACGCCAGAGGCAGATAGATCAAGGGGTTTGGAATCAGCAACCCATCGGTTACAGAGTGAACCTCTACCTTTAGATTTTTTTTCTTGTATTTGTGCTTTTCCATGATGGTCTCTGTCAAAGGTTTGTGGTTTGCTTGATGGGGGGGATGGTCAAAGTCAACATCTTAATCAACAAAAAATTTACCTTGCATACCTTCATTTGAGTCAAATATACAGTAGTCTTAAGTCATCTTTATTATTACTGAGGCTTTAAGGTAAGGACAACATACAGAAATTGCACAGGGAAAATATACAATATAGTGAGATATGATACTTGTTTAACTGATGAATTAAACATGGTTGATAGGTCTACTCTACATAAGGAAAATATGAAAACATTAAGTAGATGAGAGAACATTTTATAATGCATTCTTGTTTCTTGCTGAGGTAACAGTTGAGTTCATCAGAACTACAAAACAATGAAGCAAAAATTAAAACAGAACTACAATAGCAGTGATAATTTACTGCTGTTATAACTACCCACATATTTTAGGGTTGGTTTACTCTTTGCTTTCCACAAAGCTTTCAATCTCACTCTTAACTAGGGCAGTAATGGGGCGTGCTTTGGTGGCGCAGTGGTTAGTGCACACAACCCATGTATGGAGCCCTTAGTCCTTGACGCGGGTCGACCTGTGGTCCTTTCCTGCATGTCTCTCCCACTCTCTCATACCCCCTTTCCTGTCAGCCTACTGTCCATAAAAACGAGCCACTAGTGCCGTAAAAATAAAAAAAAACAAGGGTAGTAATTAAGGAAACATTAAACCTATCTACATTCACAAAGCTCTATATTTGTGTGATAGTATTCCTTTACATTTTCTACAGTTTGTCAAATTACCACCACAAGTTTTAATGTATTTATGATCTTATATCATTGGCAGTTAAAAATAGTGAATGATCATAAATTTAAAAAGAAAATAATTGATGTTTTTTTAACAAACTAAATAATAATATCTGAAAATAGTGGAATGCATTTATATTCAGACCCTGTAAAACTGTGATACCCCCAAATAAATCCCAACTATTGTCTTAAGTTGTCACAAAATTAGAAACCCATGTGAGAATGTTGTTGGGGAACATAGATGAAGAAATCACATAATGGCAAAAGAATCGAACATTTAGCTCAGGAACACGTGGAGAAATTTAAAGCAGTGATTGGTTAGAAAACAATATATAGGGCTTTAAACTTCTCAAGAATGTTCCACATTTCAGACTTATATTCAGGAAAGAATCAATGGTAAGACCAAAAGAAATGTTTATAGATTGTGTCTGTCTAGTGTGACAAAGTTTTGCAAAAATGAAAATATAAATTCCAGGTTCTTTGAGTGCAAAACTGATATAAAATACACAAAAGATTTTCAGCTGTGACTGTAGCATAAGTTTTATCTAAAAAAAAAAAAAAAAAGGTAATCCAGAGATTTCACTACAACTGCAATCCACACTTTTCAGATATTTAATTATAAATGAAGGAAAATAAAAAAGTATATTTTGTTATTTTTTCCATATTCTAATTACATACTGATTTGTGTCATATCTGGTTGTAATGTGGACAAATATGAAAAAGAGCAACAATGTTTGCTTGATTCATCCACAGAGAAACAAACCAGGTGAAGGAAATGCTTTTGTCCATTCACTATGTCCACTAAAAGGGGAGGCTTCCTTTTTATTCTTTAATAAAACAATCTAACAACCAGTTCCCTTTATGTTCCTTTTCGGACATCCTGGAATATTTCCAAGTGGACGGATCAGTAACATCAATGCCACTTGTCAGAGTACCTTTCCCTTCCTTCTATTCATAAGAAGTGGTTTTAAGTGGTTTTCCTCATTCTGTTCCACTAACTGAGGGCCATAAAACATCACCGTTCCCCTCCTCCATCTATAAAGCCATATAAGGTAGCAGACATGCCTGAAAGTCTTACAGCTGCGGCAACTCTGCAATGTTTGCACAAATACACCAATGCCTTAGTCATTAGTTTGGTGTCCTCCTGTATGTCATTTTGCACACATTTTTTAGATGCATTACTGCATTATTTATTGCAGACATCTTAGGTTGTGGAGAATATCCCATAACTTGTCTCCTGTTGTTCACATAGGTTGTTGTTGCTTCTGTTGCACACTGAAAATCAAGTCTGTAGTGCTAAAGTGAATGGCCAAGTCAGGAGCAGAGTGTTGCAGTAACGGATCAGGAGGGAGGCATTCATTTCCCAGGTGCAGATAGGATTCAGCGCTCATACATAAGCTGTGTTTTCTTTTTATCTTTCGAGGTGGTGTTTTCTCTTGGCTCTATGTGCATACACAAAATACATACTGTGCCCAGTACTGATGAATATAACAGAAATGATAACAAGGATGCCAAAGTGTTGAGGTTGTGGAGCAGAAATCACCATGATGAAGTGAAGCAGGTCCATTAGGTAATTCATAGAGCTCTGCACCCCATTTACTACTCCTCGTTCTGACTCACAGATGGTCTCCTGCAAAAGCTGGGTCACAGTCAGGTCAAAGCACCACAAACCTGAAAGCACAGATACATTTATTGTTGATCCTCAACCATACCCTCAATTGTATCTTCTGTTTTCTAACATTACAATCCTATAAAAAAACTTTTTTTCCTTGCACAGTATGGAATGCATCAGTACAACGCAGTGTCTCAGATAAAATACAAAAGCATGTGGAGGGAAAATTATGCAGATTCTTTGCATATAAGAATATACATGTACTTTTTAACAGACCTTTTTGAGTTGATGCTATATGCAACCTTTTTTGCAGTGGAAGTCTTTTGAGTTATCTCTGTATCAGCTTTTCACTTATAGAGGGTACAATTCTCCAACATCTTTGCAAAATATGTCAAGCTCTGTCAAATTAAATGAATAGGTTCTGTGAATGGAAGTCCAATTTTTCTTAATTAAAATCAGGTCTGGAATTTACATTATTCTCGCAAATGCTTTAAAATAATTCTTAACTATTTTTGTAGCCCCAGCTGTATATTTAAGATCATTGACTTGTTGGAATCTCAAACCAAACTCAAGTCAGTGAAGCTTTTCTCAGTTTTTTTCTTCAATTGCTGTCTTGTATTAACCTCCCACTTTTTCTCAAACCAACCAAGCTTTGCTTTTGCTGAGGAGAATAGTATTCCTACTGGAAGATGCTGATAGTGAAACATTTTACTGTACAATAGATGTGTTCAGGGGTCCTTTTCACGAAGCAGGTTTAACAAACTCAGATTCAAATCCCCAACTCTAAACTGACCTAGCCTAAGGTCAGAAACTCTGAGTTTTCTGGTTTCACAATGGCTGCTATGAATTAGTTTAATCAACTCCAAGTCAAAACTTCAGAGTTTAAGACGTGCGTAACAAGTATCAAAAGCCATTATCAGTGGAGCACTGATTCGACGAGTCACCATGACAACAGGCAACAGGAAGTACCTATTTCACCCCACAAAAACTAGAGATTTTGATGCAGAAACGAAAAAATAAAAAAGGACAATGTGTTTAAAAGACCGAGAAATACCGCAACAGCTACAAAGGAGAGAATGATGGCGAAGGAGAAGATTGTTGCTTGATTTGATGCATAAGTTTATATGAATTGGTGCTATGTCAGGCCCTTTCTACATTTGTTAAAATAACTTTTCTCTCTGTTGCTCCATTTGTAGATCACTAAAATAAGATTCTTCCTGATAAAAATCACACTCCTAGACTGAACAGTAATAATATATTTTCTAACTTTTATTTTTGTAGCAGAAACTGAATCATAGAAAGTAAAAAATACAAAATCATACTAGTAAGAAATAAGTTTTATAAATCTCGAAATTGTTATACATTTTAAGTGTCTGTTTTGACATTTATCAGCATGACTGAATACGTATTTATGATATTTGAAATCCATATTTTCATAGTTAAAATAATTGCTGTCCAGTAATATTAGGAATATGGAGATCCGAAATTAATTTATAGACATCCAGAATGTTTATTCTAGATGTGGCGAATGTCATTTTATTTAAAATTGTCATTTAGACAAAGAAAAAAAATTTTTTTTTAGATATCAGGACTACATATTCAGTAAAACTAGTACAATAAAACTGCCATAGTCTGTTGCGACCGTGATAAATTTATAGGATTATTTCTTGAATGGTAGTAGATCAATGTGCCTATTTAGGTGTAATCTTATGGCAGCAGGTGAAAATGAAGTCTAAAAAAGTTCTAATATGTAGAACCTGTGTATCATAATGGGTCCCTCCTCATGTTGATTCCATCGTTGTTTTTTTTACCCAGAAAATAGTAAGTGGCTGTTTGCAGCCGCGCTTCGGATGTTATCATCTCAATAAATGGTTGTTATAAGCAGCTATTAATCCCATAGAATGGCTTAAGACTGTGTCAGTAGGCCTAGTAGGTTGTAATCCTAATCCAAAAGTAATTCTTTTTCCCCCCTGAAAAATGAATGAATATATTTATGTGTAATCTGGAAATAATTTCAGTACTTCTTCATGTACTGTAAATATAACTACATAAAAATAAAATTATCCGCATCTCACTCATAGTAAACAAACCAAAAACAAGTAATCTCATGCCCTTTCAACTGAGTTGTAGAATCCTCTCCCTATAAATATTTAATTCTCTTTGAAATAGTGCCGATCATTGTTTAATAAGGTCCTCGTCAAACGGACATGCAATGTTTGCTTTTAAAACCTAATGTGTCTAATGTAACAAACCTAGTCAACGATATATATATATTTTATGTACAGAACTATGACAAAAATTGTACTAAATTAGGAAATAAAACAACATGATTGGCTGTGACTAGAGCGGAGACTAAGGAAAATCTGAGTTTACTGAAGAAAATCTGCTACCAACCAGGCTAGCTCTGGGGTGAATGCTACTACGGTGACTGAAACAGAGGAAAAGTCATAGTTTCCCTTCTTTCAGGTTTAGAAAACTTAGAGTTTTCTGTAAACCTGCTTTGTGAAACGGATCCCAGCTTAGTATGCATGGAGCTAAAGAGTGACAACTTGCATTCACAAGAATAATAGAATAGAACATTGAAAAAATAAACAGAAGAAATTCAAACAATTAAAAATTTCATACACTGAAAAGACAAATATTGAAACACTTCAAATGAAATGTCAGACAATAAAAAGTCAACACTGAAAATACAAACATTGAAAAATCTAGAATTGGTATGTCAGGGAATAGGGTTTTGTGTTGTCTGTTTTAGTTCCGCAGGTTTTCCACTTGAGGGTGTTTTGGAGACTGCTGTTGGTGGGGTCTTATTATTTGCAGGTGCGGTCCTCTCACAGCTGCAGCACATTACTGGCCTAATCAGAGCTGTCTATGAAGAGCAGTTTCCCATCCCTTGTTGCCTTGGTGTTAACCTTTCATGGTAAATATCAAGCCACTCTTTGAGCCTGTAATGACCTCTTTGTGTGCCTAAAGTAACTCTCGTGTTTATGCTGATTTTCTTCATGAACAACATCCCTCCTCCTGTGAACCTTACCTTGTTCTTATTGATCTCTGTTGTCAAAGCTCCAGTCTGGAAACCAATCCTTTTTCTCACTGCCCCAGTGTTACAGCAGCAGGTATCTTAAATTCCACCTGCCCTCTGTGAAAGAACCAAGAATCAAGACTCTTACCTTCGCTATGACAACCCTCCACCTCACAAACCGCTGACCACCACCTAAAGATTATGTCCAGTATCACAGGTAAGCAATTCAGTAAACTATCTTCAAGATCCTGCATACCTACAGTATCTATTCATTCCAGAGGCCCTGGCCTTCTAAGGCACTGTTTCTATTTGGACCTGAATTACAATTTTGCATTTCATTATTCTGTACCACTACACTTCTTAACTTTCTTTTATTGTATCCTGGGAGCTATTTCTGCCAGGCAAAATCACCCATTAGAAGCTCTCAGGAGAATATTCTTCGACTGAGCAACTCTTATCCAAAATCATGACGCTATTCTCTCTAAGACATACAAGCAGCTACAAATCAAGCTTTGAACCCCTGTTTTAAAAACATTTCTCCAAACAATGCCACAAAGAATATTAATCTACCAGAAGGAGCCAATGTCTCATTTGAGCAACTCCCTTCTACTCAGCCTGCAAGCTACTGCAATGTCACCCCACCAACTGGAAAACTTCTCAGATGATGGTGGGAAATGCAGACGTTGTCTTTTACAGTGGGCACTCATTTTTAATCATTAAACCATGTCTTTTCCCAGTGCTGTGTCCAAGTTTTCCTATGTGCTAGGTTCACTAGCAGAGTAGAGGCCCTGTTTCAGATCACCCTAGATTTGGAATAATAACTTTTTAATAATAAAATAATAATAACTTTTTACAAATTTTTGATGAATTTTAAATGTTTTCGTCAATAGATTGACCATGAGACACTATACCAAGGAATATGGAAATTAAGGCAAGGTCAAAGTACCATTGTTGTTTTCTCTTTTGAGTTCTGCACTAATTGCCCTCGGCTGGAACTGTGGTGCACCTAAGAGTGTATTTTTTACAAAATCAATGAAAATATTAAAGATTATCTACCTCTTATTAATGAACACAATGATTTAGATTAGCTAATTTTTAGCCATTGCCATATAAATGGACATTTGAGGAAAAGGAACAGAAAAAGGGCATTTTTCGAACCAGCTCATATTCCTGGGTCTACCACTAATCCTTCTCCACCATTGGCCACATATAGTCTTGGGTATAGTCTTCTTTGCATCTATGAAAGATGGTACCCTCGGTGGGCTAAACCAGTTTACCAGTAAACGTAAAAAATTGCTACCCTTTACCACTCATTTCATTAATCATCGAGCCTCTCCACACTACCAAAATCATCACCAAACCATCTGCATCCATCAGGGAGAGTAGCAAAGACAGCATTCAAGACACCATTAGAAAACGTTCAATAGTAATGACTAAACCAGGAACTCAAGATGCTCTCCACTGCCTTTGCATAGACAATCCTATGTACTGGAGTCAACACCTTTACTGGGTGGTGTATGCAGATATTTCCTACATCTTAACAGGTTCAGGCTTATCTCTTTATAAGGCCACTCTTGGATATTGATAGTCTTTCCTCCCTTCCATTAGAATTCATCTGCTTCGTTGCCAAGGGTTCTGGGACAACACAATGGCTGCCCTTCAGCGTTTGTTGGCGCAGAAGAAAAGGTGTGCAGACAGAAAAATGCCTCCTACCCTTGTCTACTCCTGAGGTAAAAGAATATGTCTTTCTTTGCAGAATTTTCCCTGTAAAGCATACTCTAGGAAGCTAGCTCCTAGTGTAAGACCTATTTTCTTTTGGAATTCATCTCCAGATCTTAGCGGTAAATCCAATCCCTTAAGTAGATAAGATCAATCCCTGTTAAACTGTTTGTGAAACTCATTTACCTCTCCTCCCCAATTCTGAGTCACCCTAATTGAAACCCAGACTTCATTTTGCCACACCAGTTATTTTATGTTTAATGAAACTGTAACCATTACTCTGTCTCTGTAGTTGTTCCCTGTTTCGGACCTTTTAGCAACATAGCAAAGACTGGATCATATGGTGGCAGAGGAGATCATATGGTGGCAAGCCCTTTGTAAGTAATTTAGCGGCAAATTCAAAAGGTCCTGTATACATACACAACATGAGATTAGGAAACACAAAAATAAGAATAACACATAAAAACAAACACATGCAAAAAATGCTGCAAAGGATAAAATATGCAATCACAGGCCATGGCCACCCCTTTAAAGTTATTAGTCACTCCCAACAGCTGATTTACTGTACCTAAGTGGAGGCAATTAACTATATCTAAAACAAAAAATGACAGCAGTGGTCCACTCAGGTAAAAATTCCTATCTTATTTGGCCTTTACCGATTACCAGTAATTAAGCTTAAAATGACATCAGAAATTCAGGTATTAAACTATCACATCAGCATTCTTCCATTTAAAATGACAAATACAGATTTAATCTTTTTTCATAGTTATTTTTGGTGTATTATTGAAGAGAAATTAATGTTTTGAGTCCCTGCATTCATTTAGGAATCATCTAATAAGAGATAACAGCCAACTCCTTTTCTGATTAAAATTGTATATTCTGCAGAATCATAAATATTCGTATGTATGTTAGACAGCATAAATATGTTTAAACATGTATTAACAAGGCCCTTATAAAAATCTATTCAGTCTTCAGTGATGTATTTGGAAAGTCATATTTTTCCTTAATTTCTCTTTTGCCATTGCAAGATTAGTGTTAATTTTACCCTGGACTAATTTTAGTGCCCATCAGTTTTGAGGCACCCATCACTGCATTTTGGTTTCTGCCTGTCAACCCCAAACAAAATGCATTGCACCTGCCCCTTGCAACATGCTACAAATACATAAATGGTGATAACACACAAAACACATACAAAGGAAAAATGCCACAAGTAGTAAAACAACTGCAAGTTAAGAAAAGATGCAAACTGGAGCTACATAAAGAGCTCCAGACCACTAGGGAGTGATGACTATGAACTCATATAGGACCAGAACATGGACATTGCTCTGAATTAATATCTATGGACCAGACCCTTAGAAAAAACAAAAATGGGATGACATTCAGAAGATGTCAGGGGAGAAGAAAGAAAATGTAAGTTTTATATTGAATTCTTTTTGAACACTTAACCTTTCTGAGCATCAAGTTTATGTCTTTTCTAAGGTTCTAATCCCATTTGAGTTCATGATCTTCTTCTCCAACTAATGATCTGGAACAAGTCAGCTACTAGTTAGCTTTTTTATTTTTTTACTTGTAGCTGTTGCTACTCACAGCATTTTCCTTTGGCGGATATTTTGTGGATTAGCATTGTTTATGTAGTGGCAGGTAGTTTTGTGTTTGCAGTGTGTTGTCAATTCACTATTCTATGTTTTCTGTGATTGCAGCTTTGCTCCTTTGTAGCCATTTTTCTCTGCATCTTTTAAATTTATTTTGTGTTAACGCAGTCTTTGCACTGCTTGGCCACCATAGGCATACACTCATGTTGACACTGCTCTAATTATGTGACTATTTAAGGCAGCTTGTAGAAAACATTTTATTCTTGGGTTTCAAAGTAAAGGGTGTGGAATTCTAATGAATTTCACATATTTCAGATTACATATTACAGATTTCTTACACAATTTAACTTTCAAGCTTCTAACCTTTGACCTCACAATCATGCACAACTTTGTGTTGTGCTATAAAAAAAGAATCACCATGATTACTGCTAGGTTAAGGTTTGGAAATCAAAAAGACCCCAAAATTCTACTGGTTTAATTTTTCAGCTCAGATATAATGGGGGCTAACCTTACATCTGACACAAAGCCATGTTTGTGGCGATGCGTCTTACATTAGAAGAATTATTGAAGAATTTGAATCGGATGTGTTGGATATCAGTTTTTTAATATTTTCAGATCTTAAAATTTTGTTTTCTTAGTCTTCATAATTATTTTTGAATTTATTAAACTTTAGATAGTCTAATTGTATTGCAAAATATTTCTTCTTAGCAATGTTCACAACATCTTAATGTACCAAAACTCACCAATACGTGCAGTTATAACACCCAGGAATAGCAGAATGATGGAAACATAAGAGTCAGGCGCTGTTCCAGAAGGGTCGTTGTCAAACAGGACGGTGTTGTTGGTCCAGTGAATTGAGGAGCGATCAGGAAGTAAAGGCTGATTGTTCCCTCCAGTCAGAGGATAGGTGTGTTTTTGCCTTATGTTTGCCATCCCTCCAGGCTCAGCATAGGAACCAGAGCTAAAGTAGGGCATCAGCAAACTAAGATCCATAGGGCTGCCAGGAGCAAACACAGAGCACACACAGAGCAACAAGCAACCCAGGTGGAGGCAGCTGGAGATGATGCCTGTATTTATGAGGCCAACTGACTTCCTGAGCCTTGTGAACAATACAGTACCCATCAGCCCTGTGATAGCTGAGACGCCCATTAGTAGACTTAGGAGTGAGCCGCTTATGCCCTGAGTGTAGGCATAGCCAGTAGTGATGCAGTCAAAACCCAGAACGGTAGTGTAGAGGAAAGCCAAACCCATTCCAGCCAGGAAGACGGGTTGTCGATAATATGCTCTCCAGCCATCCTTACATGTGCTCAACAGGCATCGAAACCTTTGAAAACACTGTGGAAAATTGGTGATTCCTTTGAGGCATATCCTGGAGCTGTAGTTACTCTCTACCAGAGTTTCAGGTTGTTCATGATTTCCTTCCCCTGATGAGAAAGAATAAGAACAATATTTTAGTTCATCAGCTGTAAAGGCCTATCATTTTATATCTGCAGCCTTTCAACTCTGTTCACATGTATTTAATCGATTTTTCTGACAAATATTTAAGCTATTAACTTTATGGTGACCATAAATGTTGGATTTCATGTTTTAGATAAAAAACTCAAAACTTTACCAATTACTTATTGGTGCATTTGGCTTTATTTCCTGTCAGCGTCACACCTTAAAAACTGTAGCATGTTTTGGGAGTCTGTTTTTAAAAACTGGATGATTATTTGGGGCATATCCTGCTTTTAGGCCAGTGTCTCCAGACCCTGATCTTTAGGGCTCTGGGTGGACCTTTGTTCAAGCACACCTTATTTAACTGTTTCAATTCCTTCCTCAATATCCCAGTAGATACTGAAGGAACTTATTAAAGGACATTTATTTAACTCCCTGTTGTGGCAGCAGAGAAGCAAATCAAACATGCAATGAAATCCACAGATACAATGAGAGTGGTTCAAGAGACTTGACCAAAGCGCTTTTTTTTTTTTTCAAAGCGCATTACAATATATTCAGTCATTCACTCACACAATGATGATGGCAAGTTACATTGTAGCCACAGTTGCCCTGGGGCTCACTGACAGAACAGAGGCTGCCGTACTCTGACACCATCAAGTCCTCTGACCACCATCAGTAGCCTATGCGAGTGAAGTGTCTTGCCTAAAGACACGACCCTGAAAGCCAGTGCGAACTCTTTCATAAGATGCCAGTATCTCCCCTAACCAGGCCTCCATAATATGATACATTATATTCATAATATTTTCTTGTGCAAAATCTATGTACTTATGTGAAGATCTTGGAACACTATGAAAGTCTGTAAAAAAAAAATCCTCAGTAAATAAATTGTACCTTGCAAACCTCTCCTTTCTGTCCTTTCCAGGTAGTCCTGATCACCCACAACGGTTGGAGGTTTGACTGAGAGAGCAGGAACAATACGATAAACTCTTGACAAGAAGAAGAACTCCACAATGAGTGAAAAGAGGTTCCATGCCAGGATGAAGCCACAGCCAACAACGTTAGAGGCCAAGGTCATGACCTGCCCTACTGCCAGTGGGGCCAGGATGTTGGACACCTGATCTATCCTCCTCATGGTTGCATTCATTCCTATTGTTGGGATCAAACACACAGAGATAAAAGCTTACCCACACATGGACTCTCAGCAGCTTATTAACCCAAGACCTTGAGTACAAACTAACTGTCAGACTATATGTTCTCACCAGCCAGGTGGCCTCGATTGTAGCCTGTAATAACCACTATCCAGTCCCTCTGGATGGCAATGGTCAGCGCTGTGCTTGCAAGGTTTGCCACATCTGCCAGGATGATCACCACCGTATAACAAACCACCTTGTGTGAGTTTTGCGATGCAACATGTTACTATGACAGTACAGAGTAGCCACAAGCTCAGAAGTAGAGGACACAGGGGCACAGCAAAGACAAAATAAAAACACTTTTTATGTTGCAAATCCTATCAATCATTCATTAAATAGATTCATTGTATCAAATTAAAGTGATTATTGCCATATAGATAATATTAAGTGTCGACTTACAGTAAACCATCCATCCCAGATTTGTTCTATCCGTTCCTTATACAAGAACACCAACATGAGCACTATACTACATACAGTCACTGAGGTGTTCTGCAGAAAAAGAGATGCATGTGCAACTGAAACAGAAAATGGGAAGAAAAAAATATTCAGCCTTTCATTCATGACAGATAAGGCCTTTAAAAGGAAATGCAGGTGGAGTAACTGATTCATGCTAACATTCTACTTAAATCCTACTGGGATGAAATAAAGGAATATATTAATGGAATCCACAACCTTGGTGAAACACAACATCATCAGTTTTCTCACTCCATGTTTACATTGATCTGATTACTATCTCAACTGTTCTACCTATGTTACCTTCAGAAATGTCTTGAGGTGTGAAATAGTCATGCATACCTTTATTCCGTGGATTGCGATCAACCCAGTCTCCAATTAAAGCCCCGAGCAACAACACCGACCCTGCCAGCACCAATCCAAACACCGCAGTCAACAGCAGGTTGTGGCCATACAACTCAATGAGGAACACAGATATTGCAAAGTGCCACATACGGTCACCCTGTTAACCGCAAAACACATGAGTGCCATTACAGTGTGTATGACAGCACACATTGTATACTGAAAGTATTAGATTTTCTGCTGTCTTCTCTGTTCTTCTGCTAATATCTTTCTTCAGAAATGTCTCTTACCCACATCGACAATGCTCCACTCACATAGATGAGAAACTTTGGACCTTTGAGGTAGATAAGAGCTGAACCTTAGAATGAAATGTATGTAAATATAACTAATCAATACAAATTGCATGCATTAGAAAATTTTCCTGGGTTTAAACTGGACGTCACCTGGTATATTCTTTGCTTTTGTAGTTCTTGAATCCCTGATGTCATCAGATTCAAATTCAACCACTACTCCACCACACTGGGAGGTATCTGTTGATTGGGACATTGCCTAGAAAAGGATTGGAGGCAAACAAAAATAAAATAGCAGACAGCAACTGTTTTCATTTATTCTTTTAATCTGAAATTAGAATATTTCTACTATATAAATAACCTGGTTACATCTTAATAATACAAGTAGAAAAAAAATCACAAAAGTGGTTTAATTCTTCTGGAGAGAAACCCATCTAACTGTCTTGATATTATAATCAAACTTCAAACCATCCATTTTCCGTGACGTTTTATCCCTGCTGGGGTCGCGAGGGATGCTGGTGCCTATCTCCAGCTGTCTACAGGCGAAAGGCGGGGTACACCCTGGGCAGGTCGCCAGTAAAGCGCAAGGCAACACAGAGACAAACAACCATTCACAAACACTCACACCTGAGGAGAATTTAGAGAAGCCAATAAATCTAACTGTCATGTTTTTGGACTGTGGGAGGGAGCCGGGGTACCCGGAGAGAACCCACAGTAATCCCATCCATAATCAAACTTGAACAGTACTTTTTTCTGATGTCTCTCTCTGTACTATATTGTGTCTGATGATATAGTAAGAACTAGTTACTGATAGTCAGTACATTCCTAGCAGAGAATAATGAAATTGTGCTCATAGAGTAAACCTGACAGAAACAAGCTGAAATGTCTTCATAAAACTCAACTATATAAACCAACTTCAGTTGAAAACGGTTCCTATAAACTCTACTGTGATCTCCATTTAAGAATTGTTGGTTTGCTCCAGTGTTTGGAAAGTGACATGTAGTAGCATTGCTGTTGTGGTCATATTTCCAAATCCAATTGGCTGTAAAACCTTTGTAAATGTAATCTGTCCCATCTTTCCCACTGTAGGTCTCTCGTGTCCCTCTGTAGACACCCAAGATTCCAATGACCAGTTCACTTGTTTTGCAATGATGACATAGGGGTAAATTCCAATTTAAAGTTAGTACCAACAGAATAGAAAGCTGTATCATGGATATTCTAAATGTGACTGTGTTAAAAAAATCAATATTACTGATGCAAGACTTTGCATAGGTGCAAATTGCAAAATGTCCATCTTAAGTATTACCAAAAAGAGGTTGATATGGCAATATAGAAAGTATGAACACAATGCCATTACTGCTAAAATTCTAGTTGACTGTTGGTTATTGGCCCAGATTGTCCAGGAAGGGGCGTATATCTTTTTATTTCTTAGAAAAACAAAACATTTTTTTTACTTTTTCTAATAATAATTTTAATTATCTCAAACTGTTAGGTAAACCATTATAACTCTATTAACTCTAGTGCAGTATGTAAAAATGATTTGGAAATGTTTTGGATCAATATCACTGTATATATCAGAAAATATCACTGTATATCACTATGGTCCTAATAGGTCACTAAAAGACATTCTAAGGAATATGTCAAGACGCTGAGCCCATTAGGGGTCTCTCACTATGTGTGACCATTACCTATCTGTTTATCTTCTTTGGTGTACACAGATAATCTCTTTTTCTAGAAAAATACTGTCAACATATTGCTATTTTCTCTTCAACATTCACGCTGTATTGCTACCTTCCACCTGTTGAATTCAAGACCTGTAAATGCAGCACATCCTACTTTGGATATTGTTTATTATTTTTTAAGTGTCAAAGAAAAGGGAAAAGGTGCAAAAACAGAAATAGTCTGGCTAAGCAACAAATTCTTTTTGAATTTTCTCAGATGATGCAAAAACATTGCTCTAGATCTGACCAGCTTGACTTTACATTTAAAGCTGTCAGCTTAACTCTCCCATGTGAGGAGCTTTGTCAAACTGTGACAGATGTACATAGCAGGTAACACACTGACTACCTATAACCAACAAACACAGCAATGCTTCAAAAATATAAGCCTATCACATTATATCATGTCCAGTTTTCAAGGGAAAAGCACACATAGATTGTAGGCTGCATTGTTACCTTTGCTTTGTTGTCACTCTCCGTTCTTACTGTTTTTCTTTGATGCTGTATCTTGTGCCATGTGTCCTACATTAGGATGTTAGTCTTTCCCGAGAGTTTGAATTCAAACTGTAGTAGTTTGAAGGGCTTAATAACACTGCAGTGTTCAAGTACACCATTGTATGAAAGTGCCAGAAAAGCAGAACAGGCAGAGACAACAAAGGCAGCCAGCATATTCCACAGCACGTGATGCTCTGAGGACAATATCGCTGTCCGTCCACCAAAGGACAACTACGTACGTGTGTAATGCTCAGAATGGACACATGGTCAGAGAAAACATGCATGCACCCTCAGTGACACAATTCCTACTGCTAATACACCCATATGAACTGTTGACATGTGACACAAAAGTTACATTAAGGGACCATCATGCAACATTACATCACCCTTACGCCCACAGGTAAAAAAAAACTAGCAACTAGTCCCTTAGCTGGCTGAATGAGATCCATAAGGAAATACATGGAGGAATGACATGAACAAAAAAATCATAAGTGGATGCAGCTTATTTATCTTGATCTGTTA